CCAGAAATACCAGTGCCATCAGGAGGTCCAGCAGTGGGGCCAGGACATTAGAAGCCCTCCTACTGTTGACCCCCCCAAGCACCAAGATGACAGAGCATCACTTGCCCCAGAGCCCCTATCTATACCTTGTGGCTAATATCCACTGACGGACCTCTGATGGACCAACTACTCTTAAAGGTACATTAAAGCTGGCCGGGGCAGCACAGGGAACACTGGTGAGATCAGCAGAACAAACGTCTAGCCCGGCAGCACCTTTGAGACCAACAAAGGTTTGTTCGAGGTATGAGCCGCCGTGTGCGAGGAAGTGTGCCTTGCACAAAGGGAGAAAAGTACCTCTTTCTCTACCTGCTCTTTCCCATGCATAATCTTATAAACCTCGATCATGTCACCCCTCAGTCGTCTTGTAGCCGCCACCATTTCCTCTGGCAAGTGTGTAGTTTCACACATTATTGCAGGGATACCCAACATTTTGGACCCTGAGAGCAACTTTAGAATTCTGACACAGGGTGGTGAGTAGAATCCCAGAGCTGGAAAGGGCCATACAGGTCATCTAGTCTAACCCCCTGCTCAGTGCAGGATCAGCCTAGAGCATCCCTGACAAGGGTTTGTCCAGCCGCTCCTTAAAGACTGCCAGTGAAGGGGAGCTCACCACCTCCCTCGGCAGCTGATTCCACTGTTGAGCAACACTTACTCTCAAAAAGTTTTTCCTAACATCCAGCCGGTACCTTCCAGCCCTTAATTTCAACCCATGATTGCGAGTCCTCTCCTCTGCTGCCAAGAGGAACAGCTCCCTGCCCTCCTCCAAGTGACAGCCCTTCAAAGACTTCAACAGAGCCATCATGTCCCCCCTCAGCTTCCTCTTCTCCAGACTAAATATTCCCAAGTCCCCCAGCCTTTCCTCATAGGGCTTTGTCTCCAGGGCCTTTTCGATAGTGGCCCCAACCTGGTGGAATGCTCTGTCGGAAAAGATCCGTGCCCTGTAGGACCTGTCTTGGTTCCATAGGGCCTGTATGTTGGAATTATTCCTCCAGGAATTCCATTGAGGAATATTTGAACCCAGTCTTGCGAGTCCTCTCCTCTGCTGCCAACAGGAACAGCTCCCTGCCCTCCTCTAAGTGACTTACACAAAATGGCTGCCACAAGAAACGGTGCCAATCACAAACGGTCGGGGAGTGACATTGTGCATAATGTTAACAGTTACTTTTTCAGCATCTCAGGCAGAAGCTCGGTTTAATAGGATACCTTTTAAAAGCGACATATTGTATAAAGCTATTTTCTGGTATGCGCACATTTCATCTTCAGCCCTACAGTGAAGATCCTTGTGCTGTGGTGGCCACAGGTCCCAAATCAACTTTTAAAAAGTGCGCACAGCCAATCAGAAGCCTTGCAGGGCCAAAGCCCCACCTGATCCCGCCTACTTTCTAAGAACACTGGGCAGGCTCCAGGAATACTGTTGGTGGGTGCTGTAGTGCCCATGGGCGCTGCGTTGGGGACCCCTGCATTACAGATCCCCTGAGGTAGTGAGAAAGCTTCTGAGTTTCACACCCGACCTGTGCTGAAAGCGCTGCACTGGCTGCCTATAGCATACCGGATTCGCTTCAAAGTGCTGGTGCTTACCTTTAAAGCCCTACATGGCCAGGGTCCGATTTACCTCAGGGACCGCATTTCCCCATATATTCCCCGGGCCCTAAGGAGGCCAAGCTTGTGGCAACAAGGGCCAGGTCTTTCTCAGTGGCGGCTCCTACCTGGTGGAATGAGCTCCCGGAGGACATCAGGGCCCTGCGGGACCTGGTGCAGTTCCGCAGGGCCTGCAAGACGGAGCTCTTCCGCCAGGCTTTTGAGTAGGAGCCACCACGGCCACTTACACCACCGCTCCTTTATAGAGAGAGACCGCTGGGGGGCTGGGCAACATCTTTCCATTACCCAGCCTTCCTCCCTGCTACGCAAAATGTTAGGAGTTTATATGTGCATCCGTAGAATTGCTTTTAATCTGTTTTAATTCTGAATTTTGTATTTTGTAATTTTGCATACTGTACGCTCTTACAAGAAGAAGAGATTGGATTTATACCCCGCCCTTCACTTGGAGTCTCAGAGCGGCTTACAAACTCCTTTCCCTTCCCCTCCCCACAATAAACACCCTATGAGGTGGGTGGGGCTGAGAGAACTCTTGACACAAACTGCTCTTTTTCAAGGACAGCTCTGATAGAACTATGGCTTGCCCAAGGTCATCCAGCAGGTGCAAGTGGAGGAGTGGGGAATCAAACCCAGATTAGAGTCCACACACTTAACCCTACACCAAAGTGGCTCTCATAGTACCCTATGTGAGCCGCTCTGAGCCCGTTTGCGGGGAGGGCGGGGTATAAATGCAATAAAATAAATAAAAATAAATACTTTCTCAGGTTGGGAAGGGAGGTACAAAAACGAAGGTTGCTGGTAAAAGTATGTAGTGGGAGCCCGATCCGCAAGGTGACGGTTTTTCGATGGTGATCCGAGGTCGATTTAAAGCTGCAACCCTGAACTTGTTTGCCGTCTGTATCTTTACCTGGAGACCTGGTTACTTTGTGGAATTTGTCAGTTTGGTTATTATTTATTTTTGTCGCAGAGGTCGATATCGTAGGAAACATCCAAGCCACCTCTCCCTGCCTGCACCCCACGGATCTGATCAGAGTGGCCAAAATGATCCGAGAGGACGGCTTCGACTCCGTCTTTTCCGTAGTAAGGCGGCATCAGTTCAGGTGGAGTGAAATAAAAAAAGGAGGTAAGGTTCCGTGAGCTCTTCCCACCAGTGTTCCCTCTAAACTGAGTTAGTGTGAGCCAGCTCACACATTTTTGTCTCTGCTCAGGAAGGAGGGCTCCAGAGCGAACTAATTTATGCAGTAGCCAAATTGCTCGCTCCCAACTTTAATGCCAGTAGCTCACAAAGTAGCATTTTTGCTCACAGGACCCCACAGCTTAGACGGAACATTGCTTCCCACTAGGGTCGGGTCATTAGTCCTCTGTGTGTAGGTGTATAAGGACGCCTACAGGAAGGGTTTATGGAGAATTCCCCCCTCCTCTTCCCAACTGTTAGAACTCGCAGATACCAAGGAAGTTGATGGTCAGTGGCTCACTGGAAGAGCATTTGTTTTCCACGCAGAAAGTGACAGATTCAGTCTCCAGCATCTGCCGTCTTTTTGAAGAAGGACCAGGCAGGAGGTGATGGGAAAGACCTCTGCTTGAGACCCTGGAGAGCTGCTGCCAGTCTGAGTAGGCAGTACTGACCTCGATGATCTGATGCAGTAGAAAGCAGCTTAGTGGTCTGAGCAGGGGGCATTAGCCCCGAAAAGTTCCTACAAACTGCGGAAGAGAGAGAAGAAGAAGTAAAGGCTGAAGGACTCTGAATTGTGCCTTTGAGAACTTTGGTTCTAGGGGATGATGGGGGGCACTGTTATTGGGCAATTAAATGTAACTGGGGAGGGTTAAAAGGGTTAAAAGATTGACACAGTTCATAAGAAGTACAAAGATGAAAAGTCTGAATGAGGTATAAAAAGCTAGTTGGAGATCTCCTCTCTTGGGTTTTTAGTTAGTGGTGGGTTCTTTACTTTCTCCCTTATATGTAGCTTTCCCTTTCCCTTTTTTCTGTTCTAGTTTTTGTAGTGTTTAAAAAATCAACAAAAAATCCCCTCCGCGGGCTTAAAAAAAGAAAAAAAGAAAGCAGCTTAGTGGGAGAAACGGAAGTACTACTTCATTACTTGCAGAGTAACAAAATGGTAGAATTTGCTGCCAGGAGCTGTAGTGACGATTACTTGTCCAGATGGATCTGAAAGGAGATGAGGCCACCTTCATAAAGGAGAGGTCCCCTGATGACTCTCAGCTGCAAACACTTAAGTGGAACCTCCATGTTCAGTGGCAGTGTACCTCGTAGGGGGAGGCGAGGGCAGAGGCTTTGGTTTCTGTGCCTTTCAGGGCTACTGTGTGGAATAGAATGCAAAACTAGGCGGGCCATTGGTGTAGTGTAGAGCCAGTTTGGTGTAGCAGTTAAGAGTTGCCGATTCTTATCTGCGAGAACCGGGTTTGATTCCCCACTCCTCCACATGCAGCCAGCTGGCGTGACCTTGGGTCAGTCACAAGTTCTTTCAGAGCTGTTCTCTCACGAGCAGTTCTCAAGAGAGCTCTCTCAGCCCCACCTACCTTACAGGCTATCTGTTGTGGGGAGGGGAAGGGAAAGGCTAGTCTGAGCTATTCAGGCTGCTAGATTATAGAATCACAGAGTTGGAAGGGATCTCCAGGGTCATCTAGTCCAACCCCCTGCAGAATGCAGGGAATTCACAACTACCTCCCCCCGACACCCCCGGTGACCTCTGCTCTATGCCCAGAAGAGCGCAAAAAAAACCCTCTCCAGGATCACTGGCCAAACCAGCCTGGAGAAAACTGCTTCCTGACCCCAAAGTGGCGATCAGCATTTCCCTGGGCGTGTAAGGAAAGTTCAAAAGAACTAAGCACTGAGGCAACCCCTCCTGCCCTCCCTTCTCGTGATCTGCCTAAGTTCTCAGAATCAGCATTGCTGTCGGAAGGCCATCTAGCCTCTGCTTGAAAATCTCCAAAGGAGAGCGTACCACCTCCCGAGGAAGCCTGTTGAAACGTACTCTTTCTTAACTCAGGGAGCGTTACAGGAAGAAGCTTTAACCGCGTGTTCTCTTTGCTTGTGCTCACAGTGTGTGAGGTGACGAAACCCCAGAACCTGAATCCGGCAAAACGTCCCCGGCGGCAGGACTGGGATGGGGAACTTTACGAAAACGGTTCGTTTTACTTTGCCAAACGGTCGCTGATTGACAAGGGGTATTTACAGGTTGGTGCTGACACGGTGCTGGGCTTTTTCCTAAGTCACTCACACTTTCTAGGCCGGGTTCCCCCATGTGGCGCCTGGGGGGCTCCATGGGGCCTGGCCACACCTTCCCGGGCGCCTGCCAAGTGCTTTTAGAAAGTGGGCGGGACAAGGTCTGAAATGTTCCAGCTGGGCTTCTGATTGGCTGTTCGGACTGAAAGGCATCCTGTTAAACAGACCTTCTGCCTGAAATGTTGAAGAGATGCTATTAGAATTGCATATAACCCCCGATCCCTGACATTTTGTGGTTGGCCCTGCCTCCTGCAAGCCGCCATTTGGTGACTGGCTCTGCCAGCTTGGTGTAGTGGTTAAGAGCGGCAGACTCGAATCTGGGAGAACAGGGTTTGATTCCCCACTCCTCCGCATGCAGCTGCTGGGTGACCTTGGGCCAGTCACAGTTCTCTCAAGAGCAGTTCTCAAAAGAGCTCTGTCAGCCCCACCTACCTCACAGGGTTTTAGTTATGGGGAGAGGAAGGTGATTGTAAGCCGCTCTGAGACTCCCAAGTGAAGTTGTTGTTGTTCAGTCGCACAGTCGAGTCCGACTCTCCGCGACCCCATGGACCAGATCCCGCCAGGCCTTCCGGTCTTCCGCCATCCTCTGAAGTTTGCTCAATTTCATGTTCATTGCACCAGTGACCTTGTCTAACCATCTCATCCTTTGCCGTCCCCGTCTTCTTTGACCTTCAGTCTTTCCCAGCATCAGGGTCTTCTCCAGTGAGTGCTCCCTTCTCATTGGGTGGCCAAAGTATTTGAGCTTCAGTTTCATTATCTGGCCTTCCAGGGAACAGTCAGGGTTGATTTCTTTTAGGATTGACTGATTTGATCTTCTTGCAGTCCAAGGGACTCTCAAGAGTCTTCTCCAGCACCAAAAGAATCTATTCTTCGGCGCTCGGCCTTCCTTATAGTCCAACTCTCGCAGCCATACATGACTACTGGGAATACCATTGCTTTGACCATGTGGACTTTTGTTGGCAGGGTATAAATCCGATCCTTCTTCTTCTGCTCCTCCTCCTCCTGTTGTTCTAAGCTTTCACTATGGAGTTCCAAGCTGGGTTTGAGACTTTTCTGGGGGAGCAGGTCAGTTGATGCACCTTTGTCACCCATAAATAACGACCCATTCACATCCGTGCCACTAGAATAGTGTGGATTATATTCCATTTTATTATTGGGGGCCACCTTGTGTGCCTTTTGAATATTGGAAAGGTTGGATTAAGCCCATATCTATGAATCTAGTGCATTTCTATTCTGCTTTTTGTCTGAGGAGCTCAGGGTATTATACACGCTTCTGTCTCTCCCCTATTTCTATCCTCACAACAGCCCCTTTTGGCCGTAAAGCTCTCTGTGTGACCTTGGCACCTTTGGCACTCTCTTGCAACCTAACCTACCTCACAGGGTTGTTATGAGGATTAAACGAGGAGAGGTGAAGTCGTGTTTGCCACACTGCGCTCTTTATGGGGAAGGGAAAGA